TCTCTCTCTCTGTCTCTCTGTCATTCACTGATGGAGGTGAAGACCTGACCTGCCTCAGCGTTAATCTGTTTGAGTGTCACAGGGGATAACGGGACGGAGAGACGGCTCTTCAGTCTCGGAGTCGCTGCTCGTCCAATCAGGACACAAACTCAGCTAACGAGCTAACGAAGCAGCCGCAGAGAGGAAACGCCGGCAGCTCACAGAGGAACAAACATGGAGGAAAAGTTCTTCACGGAGGATTTTCACTTTTCCTGACGGTCTGGATGACAAACCTCAGAAAGTTTCTTGGATTCTTGGATTTCCTGATTTCTCCTTCATACAGTATTTTATTGAGACGGGTTTTGTCTGCAGTTCTGTTTTAATGTAGAAAGTTAAAAGTAAAATTCTCGTACAGCTTAGATTGGCTGGCAATTACACTTTTCAATTAATAAACTAAAATCAGTTTGATCTGCAATGTGAGGCAGCAGAAAGTAATGACGGTTTGTTAGGGAGCAGAAACAGTGTGAGGCTTTCCATACTTCCAGTTCCTTTTTGAAAGGTTTTTCTCTGAACTACAATTTAAGTTTTTTCTAAAACCAAAATCTAAATCTAGCAAAAAACATTAGAATTTTTTTATCAGGCCTATAATAAAAAGATTTTAGTCAAAGAAAAATCTTTTGAATGAAAAAATCCAAATGTAGCAAAAAAATTTGTCTATAATTGTATTTTTAACAAACATCTAAATCAAACTTTTTCTCAGACCGATAATCATATTTTTTCAAACAAAAATCTCAATCTAGCTTGAATCTTTTCCCACTGTCTCTTAATTTCAGTGAAGTTCAGGTTCCTGTTTCTACCTGCTGACTTCACGTTTAAATTCATTCCAACTTAGATTTATAAAGTTTTTTTGGCTGTGGGACTCAAACAGCTTCTGGTGAAATGTTGGCAGTTGTTCTCTGGTGAGCAGGCTGTGATTGAAGTTTGAGCTTCACTGTGCAGCCGGTCGCTGCTGCAGCAGCTGTGACTCCAGAGGGTTAAACTGTCGTGACGGAGGCGGCACACACAGTGGCGTGAGTCCAGAGCGTCTTGAGTTACGTTGAGAAACTGAAGCTGCTGGCTCTGGTTACCTGTCAGGTACCTGTGGACGTGACGACAGCAGCAGATGACGGGACAAGGTCCACAGGTTTTTATCAGTTCAGTGGAAATGTAATGTGGACTGACGGGGCGGGATCCAGGACAGAGGTGAAACAGGTGAGACACAAAAGCAAAGCGTGAGACAGAGCGGATTATACAAACAGCAGCAGGATTAAAACTGATGAGCTCTGTTCAGCTCGGAGGACAAATATTTGGATGAGAACACAGAGTCCTGGTCCTGTAGGCTCAATTCAATCTCTCAAACTTTGAGGATGTAAACTCCTCACCTGGACCGACCCGGACGCCACCTGTTTGGATTCAATGAAGCACCTCAAACAACATTCAGTCTGAGTAGTTTCAGCGTCCGAGCTGGACCTGCGGGACAGGGGTCATGTACGTCCTGTGCACCCTGGCGGTCCTGACCCTCCACAGCCTCATCAAGAGCTGGAACAACAAGGCCGTGGAGCCTGGCGGGAGCTCGGAGGCCGCGCGGCGGAAAGGTCGTCCTGGGGATGGAGACGGAGGCGTCCCTGAAGTCTGTGGAGCGTCCAGGCCTCGGGTTGGGGAGCACGGAGGACCGAGGAGCTGCAGAGCTGAAGGGAAGAGGAGGCGAGGAGGAGGAGGCGTGCGTAACGTCCCCGACAGCAGGAAGCGGGTTCAGGTGAGAAGATGGAGATCAGGTTCAACCAGCAGAGTTTAAAGCAAGACTGGTGAGGAAACAATGGAGGAAAGTACATTTACTCAAGTACTTTACACATTGGAGCTACTTCTTTCCTTTGTTCTTCTCAAAAGTCAAAATCTAGATGAGAATTTCAAGTTTTTGAAAGTTTCTCTCCGACCAATAATAATAATCCTATCGTACTCTACAGATTTGATTTGTTTTTCCATTTTATGTTTTAGTTACTGATTTAGATTTGACATACATTCTAAGTTCTACAACATGTCAATTGAAAATTTCATTATCTCATTAAATTCAAATTAAATGCCTTTAGTTGAGGTTTACCACAATAATGGATATAAACAATCATTTACACAACAATAATCAATCTAAATACAAACAAGCTGAAATCAAAAGCCAGCAAAGGTTTAATACAGACAATATACATCCAGTTCCCTTAAACACTATTGGCCCTAAATCTGCAGATTCCCTTTGGGAGTTCTGCATTGCAGGCTACCACTAAGCTAGCAAGAGGAAGTTCAACATATTATTTATGTTGGGAGCCATCTGGAATTAGCTAAATGTTTTTTATATTATTACAATCTTATCTTTTTAACCTGAGTTATAAAAGCTCTGAACCAAAACAGTTACTTCAGTTTTATCCGCGTTACATCCAGTTATTGATTTGCAGCACTTCCCCTGGTGATATGGTTGTGTAAACATGTGTGTCATCTGCATGATTATGGTGCATATATTGTCGTTCTGTATAATCTGGTCTTGTGGGAGCATGTAGATGTTGAAGAGGCCACAGAGTGGAGCCTTGGGGAACTCCACAGGTAGAAGTAGAGGACTTTCAGCTCTTTCACTTGTTTTTTACGTTGTTGTATTGCTGTTTTTATTAAAGTAAAAGGTTTGAATACTTCATCCACGACTGATAAGATAATAACAGCTTTTGTTTCGAGAGCTCGGTTTAGAAACAGCTCGGCCAATAAAATCCATCTGATTCTGGCAAACAAACATCTGTACTTTTACAGTTGAACAATAAACATTCAGATATGGCGGTACAATAAATATTAGCAGATCTGAAGGCGGCAGTAAATCTAACCTGAATCTGAACCTTAAACATCAAACTTCATTGGAAGTTTTGTTATTGTTTTATGCTGCTCTCTGATTGGCCAACAGCTGTCCGATAACTTTATATCCATAGATCAGCTCAACAGTTTAAGCTCTGAATTAGAGTAATTAAGCTGCAGGTAACCATAGCAACAGGTAAACTAATCTAACCACAAGTTTAAATGACTATAAACATAAAAAAACAGTTCTGTTGTAAAATAGCTATCGGCTGTATCACAAGAGTAATTAAACAAGCAAGCTAAAGTTAGCAAGCCAAACTAACGTTATTGCCAGCAAAATACTATCTAAGTGGATATGTAAGTTGGCTAACGTTAGCTTCCCCAGCTGACGTGATCGATGATACTAACTGACAAACAGTGTTAATGTTTACCAGCAATATATGTTGTAGCAGTACGAAGCTAACAGTTGCTTTCTACTAGCCAAGAGCGATGCGAAGGCAGAACTGTGACGCCAGTTAGGCTCCGCCCACAAAATATTGTTGTTTACAAACAGAAAAGTCCTTTTTGTGAGGCTCTTTTTATTAAACCTGAACGTGGGAGAGAGACTCTGCAGACCGTGCGTCCAGGTTAACGTCGGTATGTTCCAGTTAAATTCTGGTTCTCGCCGTGACGTTTTGTGTCGGAGGAGGAATGTGAAGCCATTGACTGATCACATGATGTGAAACATGTCAACAGTCAGTCAGATCAGGAGTTACATAACAGATTTATCATCTGATGACGTTAATCTGACCTCTAACAGGAGGACACAAGCTCTCTCCTGCACGACACTTTCAGTCAACAAGCATCAACTTTTTGTGTTTTCTATAAATGGCCGACTGTCCGAACTGTCTGCAGGTTCCTGAAGAGCCGATTTACAACTACGATACTTTTTAAAATCACTTTAAAACACGTCCTCCTGTCTCCTGGCTGTGTGTGGACCAGTTTATACTGAGGAGGAACTGAAACTCGCCGTGCGCTCAAAAACATCAGGACAGCTTTCTGCTGCTCAGCAACACAAACTCAGAGTTGTGGAGGAGGCCTGGTTGTGGAGGAGGCCTGGTTGTGGAGGAGGCCTGGTTGTGGAGGGCTTTGTGGGTGAGGAGAAGGACTTTAAATTGGATCCGTTGTTGAACAGG